ACTTGTGCTATTACACGGTAGTTAGAATGCATGCTTGGATTTTTGCTCTCAGAGCTGTTGTTCCAGACAGGACGTAGCTGCAGCTCAGCAGGGACGCTGGGTGCTCAGCCGGGACGCTGGGTGGTCAGCGGTGCTGGGGGAGCGGTGCTGGGTGAGTGTCGCACACACCTCCGGTGCGGCGGTTGTTCCTTGCAGGGTTGTTGGGTCCTACCAGCTCCATTAGCGGACTCTTACACTGCATGGCCATCCTCAGGGATCAGAAACTCTAGAAGGTAGCAATACAGATGAAATGCCAAGAAGGGCTCTCTTGTCTAGTATACACATTGCGTTATCTTCTTGGGCATAAGGTGTCTGTGCAGGGTTTCTGGTACGGAACCTACAAACAGCTTGGGAGAGCAGTAGTAGTGGCAGAAACCAATAAATCACAGAATCATAGAAAAAGATCATCTTGTCCCTGCCCATGGCAGGGGGGGTGGAACATCTTCCCCTAGACCAGGTTGCTCAAAGCTTCTTCCAGCCTGGCCTTGAAGATGGCCAGGGATGGGGCATCCACAGCTTCTCTGGGCAACCTGTTCCAGTGCTTTACCACCCACTCTCTGAAGAATTTTTTCCTGATATCTAAATCTTCCCGCTTTCAATTTAAACCCATTACCCCTTGTCCTGTCACTACAGGCCCATGAACATCTGGGCTGGGTGAAATGCTGACAGTGACTCTGTGTTTAGGGAAGGAAAAGGGTGAGCTTGCTAGGATGATTCCCATTGGTGAGCTGAAGTTTAGGCAGTCTTTGACTCAGAGAGAGTTGTGTTTAGTCATTGATGTGGGGTTTTTTTCTATAGGTTTGTGCAATTGCCTATACAGTGCAGAGTAAGTTTCACCATGCTGGAAAAAGTTTTCAGTGTACAGAGAACCCAGTCCTTTTAATTTGCTTCAAGCGGCTGTTCGAAGTGGCTGCTGTATTTCATTTGATGCTCTGCTGCCGTTGTGGTGTGAGTAATCTCATCCTACTTAACCTTCACACATCATCTATTAGTTTTGTAAAGCATCGTGTGTTATTCTCTTCTCTTGGCTGCTACTTTTCCAAACCCTTACAGCAAAGACATTTTGCATCTTTTATCTTCTTTTGCTTTCCCCTGAGCACTCCTATATCTTGAATGTGTGGGGGTTTTTTTGTTTTGTTTTGTGGGGTTTTTTTCTTTCATTTAGAAGGAGCTGAATTGTGTATCGTTCAAAATGGGGAAGTGCTATGGATTTATCATAGCAGTATTCTCTTTCATTTTCTAGGCTTGCTCATCCCTATCATTTACTCTGGGGTTTTTTTGGTTGTTGTTTGAACACTGTTGATAACTGAAGGGGTGTTTCTTACATATGTTTACCAAAACTTAAGGTCTCTTGTTTCCTGAGAACTAATATGGAGGCAAAAATTCTGTAAATAATATCGGGGCTTCCTCTGTCCCTGCCCTCAGCATGCTTTACTTTGTCTATGTTAGAATAGTTGTGCTGACTTGTGCTGTGAGCCCAGCTAGCGCACTGTTCTGTCTCCAGCAGTAGTCATAAACAGAGGCTCGGTAAAGAGTAAGAATAGGACAAACATAAGCGATATTTAATCTAAGTCTTCTCTTAGCTGTCAGCTAAGCTTGGGGGATTTTCTGAGCCTGAAACAGCTCAGCCTTTCAGTGGAATATGTCTTCCCAGTGTCTGCTTACACATGTAAACAGTTTCAGGGTGAGAGCTTCCTTACAAACTCCATGCCTCTTGGCAGTCCCACGAGGTGTAACATCCATTCAATTTCCTGCTATTTATTTCGTCATTCCAGTTTGTGGTATTCCAAGATCTTTCTGCAATTTGCCAGTGAATTTTTAAGTAGTCTGAATAATTCAGTGTTGTCAGTGGAAATCAGCACGAGTAGCAAGGCTGAAAAGTTGCAAATTTATGTAGTGTTGAAGATGATGCATAGCCTGTAGCTAGAAGACAACATAAGACTATGTATATTGTCAAAGACATCTGAAAACCCAAGTTCAGTTTAAGAGATGATCAAATGTTAACTTTTATAGTCACTGAACTGTAGCAGGACTGTCTTCTTCAAGAGACTTAAGTAGTTTTGACTCTTCCCTAAGAACTGTCAGTTATGCTTGTCTGTAGTACATTCACAGACTCCATCCCAGGATTACAGACAGTCAAACTGAAACCCAGAATCCCATTTGTTACCCTTTGTTTCTCTGGAGCCAGGTGGGTCTGGTTATTGTAGCTGTTACTATTTTGATATTTCAGTTTCCCCAGGGTCTCTGAGTGACTATTACGTGTTATTGCAGTCTTGGTTGTGCTTAGGGAGTAGAATTTTATTAAGATCTGGAGAATCTCAGCTTTCATGAAGAGTTTCAATAATGAAACCTGATTGATTAATTTAAAAAAGTCTAGCCTTTGTTCTGCTTTGAGATTCTTATTATATTCTGAGCATCAACCAACCTTGCAGGCTCGCTTACAGTCTTCCTTCTTGAAAGAGGCTTTATTAGATTGTAGATTTCTAAGATGTTCCACTTGGGTTTGTAGAAAGCTCATGCAGTTTAGGTTCCTTGGACAGGCTGTGCATTAGAGTTCTCTTCCACTAGTTGCTGTTTGTCACTTCATAATTAGCATGACCTTAGTATTGGCTGTTCATCCTGTTATCCAGGTGTATCTAGAGATATATTTCCTAAAAAGTAATTTTTTTTTGTTGTATTCGGTGAAGTAGAATTGCTACTTGATGGTGAGGTTCTACTTTCAGTGCCCTTTCAAGCTCTGTTTTAGTTTTTGGGTTGAGTAGTAGTTTGTGCTTGGTTATTCCTTTTTATTTAGGAAAGATTTATATATAAAACATTGTTGCATAAGCACAAGATCATATCCCTTGTAAAAACACGTCTCAGTCGGAAAATAAACTGTTGTTGCTCTGCAAGCACTTTTGCTTTTCTCTGGTGTTTCTTGAATGTGTGAGGAGGATGTTAAGTTCTGTTTAGACTGTTGGAGCTCTCTTTCTGTCACCTGGTTGTTAGAAGCTGAGATGTTGTGAATGTTTTTACAGTATTCTAGCTTCTTTCTTGATTTTGGAACTTGCAGTGTTTCATAACAGCTTTTGCAATTTAGGTTGGAGTTTATCCAAGAAGCTCTAAGTTAGCTAAAATCCCTTGGAATCTGAAGAGCATGTACAGGAGATGCTAGATGATGAGCTTAAATGCATTTTAAGTCAAAGACAAACTGTACTTGCCCTACTGGGCTGCTTACTAAAGGATCGTCTGTTTCTGTCTTAGTGTGTAGGTCTATGCTGTGTATAATTTTTCAATATACACAATCTGATAATCCTCTCTGATACATTTAATCCTTGTAGATGATAGGTAATGAATTTTTACTTTAATCTACCTTATTTGTTTTCCTTCAGGTCATTTGTGTATGTTAGCTGTTTATTCCAGGGGCAGTGTAGGCATATGGTTATAGGTTCAGAGTCTGCTCAGCACATAGAGAATCCTCTGTCTTGGCATATTTAACTGCATGTGCTAATTAAACTGGAAACTGCCTCTTTGGTTACTATACATTGATTGAATACTTGGTAGTAAACCTAACTGGGGTCTTGCATAACCAGAATTTGAGTCATCTGCCCTGCTCTACCATGTGGTTTGGCCTGTCAGGGTCCCTCTGGATGGCATCCCTTCCCTCCAGCATGTTGACAGCACCACACAGCCTGGTGTCGTTGGCAGACTTGCTGAGAGTGCACTCAATCTCGCCGTCCATGTCACTGACCAAGATATTGAATGGTGCCTGGTCCAATACTGACCCCCGGGGAGCGCCACTTGTCACTCAGACATCGAGCCATTGACCACAACTCTGCAAGTGCGACAATGCAGCCAATTCCTTATCCACCAAGTTGTCCATCCATCAAATCCATGTCTCTCCAATTTAGAGACAAGGTTGTCGTATGGGATGGTGTCAAACGCTTTGCACAAGTCCAGGTAGATGACATCGGTTGCCTGTCCTTTATCCACCAGGGTCGTGGCCCCATTGTTGAAGGCCACCGTATTTGTCAGGCATGATCTGCCCTTGGTGAAGCCATGTTGGCTGTCACCAATCACCTCCTTGTTTTCCATGTGCTTTAGCATCATTTCCAGGAGGATCTGCTCCATGATCTTGCCAGGCACAGAGGTGAGACTGGCTGGCCTGTAGTTCCTCAGATCCTCCTTTTTTCCCTTTTTAAGGGTGGGAGTTATGTTTCCTCTTTTCCAGTCGGTGGGAACTTCACTGGACTGTCATGACTTTTCAGATATGATGGATAGTGACTTAGCAACCTCATCTGCCAGTTCCCTCTGGACCTGTGGATGTGTTTCATGAGGTCCCATGGACTTGTGCACCTTCAGGTTCCTTAGGTGTTCCTGAACCTGATCCTCCCTAACCATGGGCGGCTCTCCATTCTCCTAGTCCCTCTCCTTTTCTTCTGCAGCTCAGGTGGGATGGCTTGCTCCCTTGCTAGTTAAGGCTGAAGCAAAAAAAAATCATTGAGCACCTCAGCCTTCTCCATATCCTGGGAAACCAGCTCTCCTGTTTCCTTCCACAGAAGGCCTATGTTTTCCCTCATCTTCCTTTTATCACCTATGTACCTTAGAAGCCCTTCCTGTTGCCCTTGATGTCCCTGGCCAGGTTTAATTCTGTCAGGGCTTTGGCTTTCCTAACCTAATGCCTGACTTCTCGGACAACTTCCCTCCCTGTCCCTGCTTCTAGCCTCTGTAGGCTTCCTTTTTGCGCCTCACGTCGTCCAGGAGCTGCTTGTTCACCCACACATGCCTCCTGGCACTTCTGCCCAACTTCCTCTTCATTGGGATGCATCGCTCCTGAGCTTGGAGGATAAGATCCTTGAATACTCGCCACCTTTCTTGGCCTTCTCTTCCTTCCAGGGCTTCATCCCATGGGGCTCTGCCAATCAGTTCGCTGAAGAGTCTGCTCAGTCTTAGGAGTCTTACATCAGTGCCTGCTCCTAAGCATGGACGATTTACAGCCACGGAGTGGCAAACGCTGTAATCTGATGCACTCAATAAATGGTTTCCCTGGACTGAATTATTTTATGTGCATGCTCACTTACTGGTAAGCTTCCTATATGAGCAGAGAAGTGGATCATCATGAAGTACTTCCAGTAGTCCAGTGCTGCTGATTCCCTTTAAGTAATTTTCCAGTCTATTTCAAATATAGCTTAAGGTGGTATTTCTGGAGTAACCCTACTTACATTTTGATACCAAATGTCTTTTTTTTTTTCCCTATGTACCTTTATTTCCAATGCAAGTCTTTTGACACCTCAAAGATTTTGATGCATTCTTTGAGGTTTGTGTGGCTGAAGTTGGCTTCGGCACTCATCTTTGCAAAAAGGAGGAATCAAGCTATTTATTTTTGGAACTTTGGCACTGAAACAGATTGTATCCTGTTCCTCCTTGCTTGTTGAAATTCTCTTAGCAGTATTATCCAGCTTTTAGTCTGCCTCTTTGGAGTCATTTATCCTTGTTTCAGGACACTTGTTTGTGAGGCAGAGGGGCTCCATTCCTTGTCCACTCATTTTTGCTATATTAAGGCTAGCAAAGCTCTGACTCTGTAGGGGATCAGGGCACAATGTGTGTCCAGGAATCCCTGGAGTTTCTTAATAGCATGCTTATCAATCCCAAGACTCGCGTGTCCTCTTTTGGCACCCATCTTTGGTGCAGCTAGAATTACACTAATCATCTGCCTTTCAAATTACGGCTAAAATATACCCTGCAGGATCAGCAGTTCTTAATGTTACTCTTAAGTGGGTTTCATGGCTAAACTGGCTGCTCTTAAGCCTTTTTGCCTCCCCTTTTGACAGAGGCAATAAGGCATCAAGCTGCCTGAATTCAAAGATTTGCACAAGCAAAGTGGCTTTTGGACCTCTCTTTTTCTCAGAAAGCAAAATAGCAGGTCTTGCACATAGATCCTCCCAAGGACTGTGCAGTTTTGCAGTGGGTGAATTGAGCAGTTTTGAGCAAGACAGCTTGCATTTCAAAAATAATACTGCTTGCATTTTGAACTCTCCAGCTTTGTGCTGTGCGGGCACATGCTGTTTCAAGTGTTGATGTTTGGAGAGTGCCTCTATTTATGTCTCTGGGAACTGTGTTTAAACAATCCAACTACTCCCTGAGAAGTAAAACATTATGGAAGAGTTTTGTCTCAACTTTAGAACCTGTAGATCAGCATTGATCAAATTGAAATAGCTCAGATATCGCCAGAATAAAAATATCTGAGTGGTACTGTCTGGGCTTTACCAACATAAAACCTCGTGGTCGTTGCCCTCAAGCCTCTGATGATAGTCACCAGTTCAGTTTGCTATGTTTTGTGTTTTTACATGCTTCAAAGCCTATCTTAGAGTTTATTTAAGGAATGTAGTTGCATTAAAATCCTGCTCACAATATTTTTTACTTGGAAGCCTTCAATGAAGAGGCTAAAAAGTATAAGCTGCAAATAAAACAGCTTTCTGAAGAAGCTGTTTATCCAGTCCACAGCTTCTAGCCTGCTTTCTTAGGGAATTGCCTGCAGCCACAGGCTGCATCCTTCACTAAATGTAACCTCTTAGCTTACGGTGGCAATAAGGTAGCAGACTTGCACCAAAGATAACTGTTTTAGCTCTGCCTCTTGGATTCTCCTAGTGTGTCAGGTGGCAAAGCTTCCTTTTGTTGTTAATTGGAACTTTCCGTCTCTCGCCTTCATGGTCTGCAAGCTGCTGTCATCAGGGTTCCTGCATCTGTGCTGAGCAGCAGCATGAGAGTTTTGGTCTTCAGCCCCTGCTGTGTCATGGGTCTGACTTGGGGAGTGTCTTTGCGGTCCAACTTGTTATACGTACTCTGATTTTTCTCATATTTCTGGTCACCTTGGCATATAGTGGAGGTGAAAGACAGATTTTTCACAGATGCTTAAATGAAGGTTTCTCTCCCAGATAATTGCCTTTTCTTCAGAGAGTCATAAGCTCACTATCTCTCTTCTACTCATTCAGTTACGTGTCTTGGAGCAAATGCTCTTTAGTCCTGTTCAAATTATTTTTTTTCCTCTTTCCAACTTCATCCTACGAAGAACAAAACCACTTTTTCCTCTCCTGCCTTTACCTTTTGCCAGTAGTTATGGTGCTCATTAAATATAAGTGATTAATTATAGTCAGAGTCCGCAGACTGCTCACTCTCCATTCACGATCGTATAGGTAAACTGTTACCAAGGGAGTGAGTTTTTTCTTTGTGGTAGCCTGTGAAGAGTAAGGTGGAGTAGGGGCAAACATGCTGCTTCATGCCAGGGGTAATTCAGGCCTTCCAGAAGGGCAGGGACGAATGACACATGCAGACTCTTGTATACCTGTTCTTGTGTTCTGCTGTTTGCTAGTTGAAGCAGCATGGGTCTAAGCAAGACCTATGTATTTGTGCTCTTGAATCTTAATACTCTACGTGTGGCCTCAGGCAACCTGACAGTCTTCCCACCCCAAAACCCATCTGAGGGTATCCAAATGTCTCAGTAGAACTGGTAATAGAATTGTTGAATAGGATAGCTATGAGATGGAGTTTGGGAGTGAGTTAAAAATAAAAAAGAAAACACTTTACTGAAGGACCACACCCTGCTGATTCCTTGCCAGAGGTTACAGTCACTGTGATGAATCTTTATATTCTCTCTTGAAGCTGCATGGCTATAAACAGGCTTACAGAATTTTCAGTGTCAAGTGTTGATGGTGTCTAGTCATGCAATTGAAAGTATGTTACCAAACTTTTCAAGAAGGTTCTTTATTAACAAAACAATGGCTTTTCCTCCCCTTACTGTATGTAGTTACTATGTAAAGTGATCAAGTACTGTGTTCAATAGATATGACTCTTCTCATTCTGTTGCTAATAAAACTCTTTCAATTCTAGATTTGGATATCAAAACATCAGGGACTGGCTGTGTGAAGATTCAGAAAATAGAATGTGATAACTGCAGAATAGAAACGGAGAAGGGGACTAGTGTCTTGCAGTCAATAAAGGTACAAAGAACCCTTCCTCACTCCATTGGTGTTTTAAAAGGCATTGTGCAGTAGAATGTCATATAAAAACTTAAACACCAGTTCTGGAGATAAGTACACTGATGTTTTAACTGTTACTATGTGTGTAGCATCTCACCTTTATTTATTGCATACAATTATGACAAAAGTCAATAACACTAAATAATGTGGAGTCAGAAGTCCAGGTGCTGTACGTTTGATAGCCAAAGCCAGCAAAACCAGTGACAGCAGTATGTCTGATGCCTGCCCACCCTGCCCCTCAATAAAAAGGACAGACTGGTATTTCCTGCTGCTTGCTCAGTCAGGACTTTGCAGTATGCTGCTTTTTTTCCCTGTGTTTGTTTTTTTTTTTTTTTTAAATACTTCTCATATATTAGTGCATTTGACAAACTCTTTGGGCTAATTTTCAATCAGAAGTTACACATTATGTGTCCAAAATATTTGACTGAAATTTTTCTGATAAATACTCTGTGTGTTGTGGTCATGATCTTCTTTATTCAATCTTAAGACTTCAGGCTTGCTGACAAATACATTGGTGGCCACAGGGAGCTTCTTTACTCCCTTAAGCCTCAGATGACAATGGTCTTGTTCGAGAATGCATTTAAAATTTAAAGAATCAAGAAGGAACTGCAGATTTCAGCTGAAACACTTGGTAAAATAAAGCTTTGGTAGATTATAAAGCTTTGGGGTTTTTAACCAGAATAGTTACCTGAAGTATTCTGATGGCTTCAACATACAGTACGCCAGAAGACGTTACTGCTCTTGTTTTGTTGACTATGAAGTAGTGAGGTAAAGGTTTGGAATGAAGATTACTGGCCATGGAGTGTTTGCAGGAGCAAACAATTGTCCAGTTACAGTATCTCTTAGCCATACAGTCAGCATATAGTCTAATGGTTTGAAGAAGTTCTAGAAAGGCAACCAATTCAGTTTCTCTAATGTAGGTTCAGGCACTGTATTCTGTATGAGCAGAGAAGCAGAATTATTGGTGAGAAGCGGAATTGTTAACTCTCTGGGTTTTTCAAAACTACTGGAAATCTGATAGACTAAATTCTGTAATAATGCACAAGAGCTGATTCTCCTTCAGGGAATGTGATTTACTGAGGAAACTGAAGTGATACTGCCCTCCCCTGGACGAAGAGTTGTTAGTGTTGCTTCACTCCTGCTCTCCACAAACCTCATTGTCTAGCAAAGAAGGAGACCCTTTCTTTACTTTAGAGAGCAAAAGATTGTGGATCAATGACATGAAATAAATTTTTAAAAATGGTCATGTGGGGATTATTCAAGAGCCCTGGAAAATGGCTTCATAAGTGCTAATTCTCTTTAACTTGCCCCAGACTGCAACAAGTTGTTTCTGTAACTTGTAATTCAAGAAGCTCACTGATTTTTGGTATACTGTGTGGTGTCTTTACTGGAGATGTAGAAATTTGACATCTGCTTTCCTTAATTATGCATGCTAGTAACTGAACAGAAAAGATGAGTATTCTATATGAGTGTTTTTAATGGATTTTGGTAGCCAGTGAGATTTGTTAAGGGTTGTTTTGCTGAGATTTTTTAATACTGCTGAGATTTTGTTGCTACTGATAGCAGCGGTAATTACAAAATACAGTTATGACTTCTAGGTCTTCTTCAGAGTATAAAGTATTCCCAAATTCTTTATTGAGAAAGCAGTGCTACTTCTTTTTAATTTCTTTTTTTTCCCTCCTGCTTCTTATTGCAGTCCATCAGCTTAGCAGTGATGGTGGGACCAAGGAGAGACCCTTGAATTTTGTTTCTTTGGTCAATGATTACTTCTGACTCCTTTACTGTGCTGGTGGTAACAAGAAATTCTATGTGTCTTGTGCCCTATCAGTGGAAAACCTGCCATGCTTCCTTACCACACACCATGTCTGAGCCTGATTTGTTCAAGTCCTGCACCACTGTCCTTCCTTTCTCTTTTTTCTTTTAACATCTGTCATGGCCTTGATGTTAACTAGATCTGATCAGATGGCAACGAGATTAAGGACTTAATTAAAAATGAATTTTTTTCTTGTTTCTCATCTGCTACAGCACTGGGTATATGCATACCTTGGTTTCTGGATGGAGTATAAATGAAATGTAAAGTTTCTTCCTTCTTCCTCTGCTGCTCATTTTAATATATATTGAGTGAATGTTTTTCTAGTGTTAAAAAACAAATCAAAACAAAAAAACCCACCTGTATTGAGAATGAAGGGTTCCTCAGCATCATGCTTTCCGTTGTGTTTCTGGTAACAAGGGAAGGTGACTTATTTTGAGTTTGACTCCACTGGAAATAAACAGCACATTTTGGCAATCATGTGAGAAGAAATCTTCACAGTGAAATGAAGGTTGTGATCCAAGGTGGTTATTATGGTACAGCTTGAAAAAACAAGATAACTTGTCTTCTAATTATGATTATTCTAACCATATGATTTTTTTAAACTTCTTTTCAGAGCCATAAAATTGATATACGAACAAATGGTGGCAAAGTAATTGGTCTTGGAACGCTTTATGGAAATACAGATATTCGTGCAACAGAGAAGGGTGTAAGTAAGAAGTAAAACTTTCCAATGGAGTGTTCTGCTTGTCTGTTGCAAAATGACTGCATTTTGAAGAATATGCTGTAGAATATGTAATGACTCTCACTGGTTGATTGTGATTTCACTCTTAACTTATATTTGTCTAATTATACTATCTTATCTTATACATGATTTGGATTAGTAAACAGGCTCAGCATAATGAGCGGTAATAAGCCTGTGATCATTCCATCAGCACAGAGGTTGTTCTAGCTGATACAGCTCATCAGCTTTAATTATGTAGACCCTCACAACACTCTTAAAACTTCTGACTTGGCTGTTACCTAGGAACCTGGATTCTGCAATAGGCCCATGAGTTTATTTTAGTATCTTACGACTAGTAGGTTGATATTTGTACATGCGGTACACTTGCAGCATTATATGGCTGTGTGAACAGAAGAGTAGAAGGTTTTGTGTATTTCTTTGCAGCTGAGGAAATAAAATTTACACGTAATCCTGTTATGAGGTACAGTGAGAAGAATCATGAATAGGAACACAGTTTCATAGAGAAGTAGCTTGCTTTTGTCAGCAGATGGCAGTGTGAGACAAACCTCTTCCTACTCTGGTTTTGTTTCTTGCCGTAATTAATTCTCATTTAAAATAATGTAGACCTAGGCTCCTTATATATAATACTGTGGTTCTCACACGCACTTTTTTAGGCTCGAGTGTTTAGAAATAATAATGTCCATTGCAATTGATTCATTAGGTCTAAAGCATTGCTGTGTGAACATGTGGAGCCAAGCTGAGTTTGGAAGTGGCCTGGATGCATGCAGTACTCTGTCAGAATCAATAGGTACTCTTAAAAGCAGCAGCACTGGGAAGAATCAGAAAGTGCAGGTAGCTCTCCCTAGCCAAGGATAGAATCGAGACCAAGCTGTTAAGTTCTAGAAGTCTGAAATCTCCTATGTGAAGTGTCATTTGACACTGCTGTTCACCTTGTAGATTGAGTTCTGAGATCTTATGTTCACTTATATAGAGCCAGCTGTGAGCTGTTCTTAATGTCCTGCTGTAAACTAAGCAACTTGCCATTGGATTTTCCAAAAACTGTCAACATAAAATTACCTGCATTTTTTTTGTCATGGATGCTATCCTGCCTTTTATATACAAAAGAGTCCAGAGTCTGCTGTAGCTGGACTGTTATTGGGGGTTGTATAGCCTGGAAAAGGAGGTTAAGGCGAGACCTTACTGCTCTCTACAACTAACTGAGAGGCAGTTGTAGTGAGGTGGATGTTGGTCTCTTCTCCCAGGCAGTAGGACAAGAGGAAATGGCCTCAAGTTGTGCCAGGGGAGGTTTAGACTGGATATTAGGAAAAATGTCTCACTGAAATGGTTGTCAGGTTGGAAGGGGCTGTCCAGGGAAGCGGGTTGAGCCACCATCCCTGGAGGTATTTAAGAGACATGTAGATGTGGTACTTAGGGACATGGTTTAGTGGTGGACTTGGCAGTGCTGCACTAACAGTTGGACCTGATGATCTTAAAGGTCTTTTCCAACCTAAATGATTCTGTAATTCTATGATTGTTATTTCTTCATGAACATTATTTCATTCCAGCAAGGTCCCCCAGCATGAAGCAGAGTAGGTAAGGTCTGACTGACATGCTCTGATGCCACAGTTGGACCGATCAGTGTTAATTGATTGGCAGTTCCCTTGGGACTATTAGTAGTTAGTGGAGCTAGGATCCATCGTAAGGCACTAGCTGCCACAGGGAGTGGAAGAGAACAGAGGTAGTTGATGGTTTTCTTGATGTGTTGTCAATCTTCTTGCAGAGGATCTCAGAACTGGAATCCTTCCTTTCTCCCAGTGTATGAGATATATTGCAATCTAGGAAGTCTTTGACTGCTGTGAAGTCATGCTGTTCATGCCATACTAGCATGGTGGTGGCCTTTAATTTAGGGTTGTGCTGCTTAGTCATTTATCCTAAACTAGTTGTACAACAGTGCAGCTCATGGAGTTAATTTCAAATAGCATTTTGATGGTGTTTGATAAAAACAGATGGATGGTAGAATAATAATTAATCTATAGCTACATGAAAATGTGGTTCATAAAAATGAGAAATGTAATTATTTTGCTCTCAGTCTTCAAATGCTGTTTAAAAATCTTTTTTCAACACTTTTTGAAACAATAAAACAAACTTCATGCAGATTAAGTTGAAATGCTTCTTTGATCATAAGTTACTACAACAACTGTATAGTCTAATAGTGCTACAAGTCACAGTTATAAATATTTAAGTGAGTCATTTTAACGGGAATTTACAGCTATGGAACAATATTTTGGCTTATGTTATTGAACTTCTCATTTACAAACTGTGTAGTTGAGAAAAGAAATCTCACGCTGTCCTTAATTGGCCACTTCTGTTAATTATCAGTCAGCCTTACATCTCCCATGTGTGTTTACATGAGATGTTTCTTCCATCAGTTCTAGTCATCCTTATGTAATTATGGCTCTGTCAGCATTTCCAACCCTCTCCTGGAGGTGGGGATGGAAAGGATGTGGTAAAAGACACTAAGCACTTGAGAAACACAATATTTTTAAAGGAGAAAATGGAGAGGACACTAGTAAAATATTTGAGCAAGGTTAGCACATAAAGGAAGGCCATGAAGAGGAATATGTGGGGAAGGAGTTGTTTATACATACCAAGATCTCAGTTTCCATCTTGAAAATGTGTTCAGGTGCAGAAACATTCTCAGTCTGATTTATGAAGATAGACTGACCCTTTTTCTTTAAAGGGTAAGAATCTGATGGAACTTGAGCATGTGCTCAGTGTCAGTAACTGCAACTCTCAAGGCTCCACTCTCTAGGAATTGTTCCAGAAAAATGGACAGTTTAATGGACAAAAATAATCAAATTTGTTTGACTGGGGGGTCATTAGCTAATCTGTGTCATGGGGACTTTCTGTAATGCTGAATTAGCAGAGCCAAGCATCTATGTTCTGCTAAAAATTGATGAACGTTAAAGAGTTTGGGATTGAAGACTTACTTAGTCTCAATAAAAAGCAATTCTGTGGGCTTGGGGTGGTGGGGTTTTTTTTCAGGTTTTTCCTATCAAGAATACTTTTTCAGTCTTCTATTTGAGCAGTCTGACACACCCACACCCAATTTTTGTTATTCTGAAACAAATGTTAATTATCTGCACCCAAATGATGCGGATATTTTTTATTTTATTCCTCCCTTTTCAGTGTGCCTCACTACTTTTGTTGTGATGATAGCAATGATGGCCCTGCTAAAATTGGAAAGGTTCTTTGCAACTCATTTAACTCTCTTCAGAACAGGTTTATGTTGTAGAGCCTAAACCAGCAGCTTTTCTTTCACTTGTTGCTTTGGCTGTGTGCCACAGCAGGTTTTACGCTTTGCCATCCTGGGTGAGGGGCTCGTGGAGCGCTCTGTGGGAAACATTCCTAGGATGGATGCAGGTAAACTTATGGTTAAGGTCTCTGCATGTTAGAGTTTTGTTAGAGCATTGAAAGAGGGAAAAGCTGAATTGCTGTCACTTTCAGTACTGACAAATTATGCCTTAATATCAATGGTGTTGTTTACTGTTGATGCTTAGATCCTGTAGCATAGTTCGAAGCAGCATCACCTGCAGAGATTGTAGATGCTGTCACTTAGCTCTAATTCTAGCACAGCAGCTTGACCACCAGGTTTTCTTGAAAGTTAACGTAGCTGGCTACGTTCTTGGAGACCTACTTTGTATTGTAGCATGTCAGAAGTCTTAAGACAATAGTCCATTTTATAATCTTATGATTTTAAGGTGTAAAGACAGTGTAAAGCTGAGTGTGTATGGATTGGTAAAGTCAGAGTATAATTGGGCTGTCATATAGTCCATACTAAACCAGCCTCTTCAGCTCACTCCTTGAGACAATACAGCATGGAGCTTGTGCAACACTAGTTGCTCTTTGTCAGAATACCTTGCTTCATCCGTAGCTTATTCTTACGTAATATAACGCTCGAAGGGTCAGATGACTTTCTTTTTTTGTATTAACACAATATGACAATGCTAAAATGACAACATGTATTTAAAGATAAATTGACATAAGGCACAGTTTGATCTCAAAGGCCGTATGTCATTTCATGTAATAAGAACTTTGTGCAATTCACTTAAAAGTCTGCATAAGCAAAATAAAAACAAATTAAGTGGGAGTTAAGTATGAAGTACTGCATAATTCCATCATAATTCAAGTTTAACTGAGAAAGAATAGAATTAAATTCATATGGTAGTTGCACAAGCACGGGTTTTTTTTTCTGTTTTGTTGAGATAGGTGTAGCTTATGTCACCTGACTGGTTACTTCACATAGATAATCTACATTATGTACGGAGTGTAACTTTTCAAATCTTATCCTTTCTCTCTATTGAAAAGTAGAAGAAATAAATAATCTTACTCCTTATTTTTCAACCCTTTGTTTAGCTTGAGGCTTAAGTCCAAGAGTACAGGCCTGAATAACCAAGGTAACATGAACAAAAAAAAAAGAGCAGCTGTGGCTGTTCTGCAGACCTTCACCAAAGCTATGTCTACAAAGTGAGCCAGTTAAAAATCTGAATAAATAGCTGTATGTTACAAAGACAGCAGATGTTTCAGTATGTGGTGCCACAAAACTGCTTACCAGTGCTTCAGGTGTCATAGTGCTGTATGAATGTTAGGTCTTCGTTATTAAAGCTAATCCTTTTTTCACTTTTCAAAATGAAGTGTTTTGGTTTTAAAAATAGAGTTTTTCTTTCATCTGTTTGACTGTTTGGGTTCTTTGCCTGTATGATGTGTGTAATAATTCATAGGAATGTTATAAAGAATCATTAACTTGTTGGTCAGAGCTCTTGGATGAAAAGGCTTTTTGGTTTTGTGTCATGTAGCTGTTAACTAAGAACTTGATGCTGTTTTGCACCAACAACTGCTTTCCATTTGTTTTGCCTCTTAATGGTATTACTGCCTTCTGCCTTTTCAAACTGTGATGACAAGTTTTCCACTATGTTTATTTAAGTTTATTTCTCTTAGAGTGTGAATATAGAGAAGCTGCAGGGGACATCCATCAACATATCTACTGAAGATGGGCTGCTGAAAACTAAGTATCTCTATGCAGAATCCTCATCTCTTTCTTCAGAAGCTGGTGATATTCTGCTGGGAAGTATTCATGGTAAGAAGGAGATACCGCCACATGGTTAGGGCAATACTACCACAAATTTAGCTGCTTTGAAGGTGTTCACAATAACAAATGTCACTAAATCAACTGTGCACAGTATATGAACAAAATAGTTCTGTATTTCTTAGAGACTGAACTGATGAGAATTAACTTTACCACATACTGTAATTATTTTTAAAAACAATTTTATAAGCATATTTGTGAAATAGCAGAAAGTGTATGCTACAGCAACATCATACATACTAAGGATGTAAAAGTATTTCAAAATTCAGCAATGAAAACTGTACTAAAAATAGTGAAGAGGATTCTCTTATTCTTCATAGGAGATGTAACTTACAGCATCTAATAAGAACTATGGTAGAACTTGGTCATATTTAAAAGTTTTTAGCAGAAATAGTCTGTGTGCTGGCACCCTATACTAACAGAGTGGTGACTCTTTCTTTTCTTGGGGAGGGAGAGCGAGGAGGTGTCTTTAATCCATACACCCCTTAATGACTTTCATCAAGAACTAAAACTAATTAATATGAGTGTCTTTTCTATAAACAGCAGTAGTCAAGATTGGAATCTGGTGTGGTTTTCTAATTTAACAAAATTCCCACTGAATTCTGACTGTGCTGTAATGCATTGGTGGTGATTTAACATTAAGTAAGACAAACTGGATGTAAAAAGACTGAAAATTACTCAGATCAGTCAGTGGATTTCCAGCTATATGCATTACAAACCATTTGCTGCAATTTCTTAGCAATTTTGTGTTGTCATCTTGCTTGAGAGATGACTCGTTTCTCTACTAAAGGAGCAACTCCTTTGTCCATTTATAGTCAATTTGAGAATGGTTTCTAAACCTGTTAGGTAAAGTTCACTGCAGCATGCAGAAATAAGACTTTCTTTCCTTGTATTTTTGGAACATGTAGACTGTATTGTTATTGGTACTTCTGTCAGATAAGCTGGTTTGTTCTGTTTTTTTCCAGCTTCAAGCCAATATAATGATACTTTGGAATGATCAGTTTGTGAATGTGGCCATGCCTTTGTGCACATCCAGAATTGTGTTTTGTTTTCTCAGTACAAAAATGAAATAACTGCTGTAGTTAGTGACCTACTTCCTCCATAATGTCTTGCTGTCATTTAGCTGAAGAACAATGTGAAAACAAATAGAATTGCATCCAAATTATACAGATACTTGTTATGTTGTTTCAGGGTTATTTTCACGAGTGCTCTACTAAATGGGTCTGGAACACCTCATGTTATTTTAGCTGTTTCTTTTAAAAACAATTGAACATTAACACTTGCTTGGCACTTCTAGTCTGTTCTTCAGGTACACTTTCTTCAAAGCATCATACTATGGAACTATGTTTTAATAATAAGAGTAAATAATTATAAAGTCTTGTATATTAGTATATTGTATATATACACACAGAAACACATATTGGCGAAAAAGATAAAATTATAATAGAATTTTGTTAGGAAAAAATTGATCACTTTCACTTCTAGTCTTTGCTTGTGGGGTAGCTCTGTTCTTAGTAGCAGTTTTGTTGGTAAACGCTTCAACAGATTCTTTCTTGGGCAATTAAGCCCACTTTCCCTATAGCTGACAGCACGCTGATATTGTTGGCATAAAGTCATTGCATCTGTGCAGAAACCTGAGCTATGCTTCATTGCTTTTGCACTGAGAACTTGGTAGTTAGGGAAACACAAACTTTACCAACCTGCTTGGGACCCATTTTGTAGTTGAATCTCAGGCTGTACAATTCCAGCGTTGTCAGTGCCCAAGCTTTCTTAATTGCTCTTTTGCACGCTTCATATGACTACGGCAAATGAATAATGCATTATTTGGAAGGAATTGGTTTTGAGTCATTTTCATCAGCTTCTGTAACAGGCATTTGAGATATCGGGTTCCATTGAGCTTTTGAGTTGACCCTTGAAAAACAAAAGGACAGCAGCTCTGAGACTGAGACACATGCTACGTCAGCCAAGGGACAATAACATTATAGTGAAACTTCTCCACAGAGAGGCACATAAGAGAAAAAGGAGAACCCCTCTTTGCAACTGTGTCATAGTCTTGGGCTGAGTTGCATTAATTACTAATATATTTTATCAACAGAATAGTTTAAATTGGAAAAGAATTTGACATCTGGTCCAAACTAATGCTTAAAGTGGACTCAATTAGAGCAAACTTGCTCACGGCCTTCTCTGAGCTTTTAATATTCCAGAAACAGAGATTGCATGACCTTTCTGTGCAACTTGTTCCAGTCCTTAATTATCCTTCTGGTGGGGGAAAAAAAAATCTTTTTTTTTTTTAATCGTAATTTCCGTTATGGCAACTCGTAACCATTATCCCTGTTCTTGCAGCATCACCATGAGAAGAGTCTGTCTTTTTCCCTGTACCCTCCCCTTAGGTAGCTGTAGACCACAAGAAGATTCCTCCTCAGCATTCTTCTTCTAAAGCAAAACAAACCCCAGCTCTCGAAGCATCTGTAGTATGCTCTCAGCCCCTAAGCTTAAGACTCTTCTCTGGCCTCAGAGAAGAACTCTTCTCTGTTCCTTTTAGGCATGTGTCTACTTTAGTCTAATGCAAATTTAAAATGCAAATTCTAAGTGGTAAAAAGCTGCATGGTTGGTGGATTTTTTTCTTCTTTTTCTGTGCATCAGAATATCCCTAAGACCTTGAGAACCTTCAAAACAAATTGAAGGAATGGAAATGAGACAATATGAAGTGATGCCTTTATTTATATCCCAGAAGCCATCTTTTCCTCCTTGTCCTTTACTGGTCCTGGCTTGCAATACCGTAGTTGAAGTTTTATAATGTTTATGGAGAAGCAAAACTTTTTCATGATAGAAAAGATAATTTTTTTTAATTGTATCTGAAGAAAAAGTTAACACTAAGCCACTGTCATCAATATTCTGCTAAAACTTGTATTTTGGACATTATAGTATTGCACTACAATGCTGAAGTCTGTTGGGTGTAATAATGAAACTAGTAATTACCTCTAGTCAGGTCTTCCTCTTTTTGCCCTTGACATGTCCAAAAAGTATTTGGCTAGCTTAAAAATAAGAAGTTGAGCATTGGCCTTCATGAAACAATTACACCACCAAAACTACACTTCTGTGCCTGGACTGCAGCCACTGCAGGTCACAGCGCAGCATGACATTCCTATCTGCTTTGAAAGCAACTTTTGTTCTAGCTAAATATTTAAAGTCAGCCTGTCACATTAATAAACTTACACTATGCAACATCAGTTGTATCTGCCATGTAGGTCTGTGGTTAATAGGAGTTTGATTTCTACATGTTTAGTATTTTTCAAGGACCTGCTTATCAAAAGAGAAAACACAAAAAAATAGAAAAACAAAGAACAGACCAGCAAATCTGCAAATATCAGGGGCTATATTCAGGCAGAGTATAATCTAGCTTCAGCTCCATGGGAGCTGCTAGCTGGTAAAACCAGAGGCTTTTTTGTAGTTTGTACAAAAATAAGTACTAGTCATGATAAAATGGGGAAAAGGGTGGAATAATTATAGTGTGCCTTATAAAAACAACAAACAGTAAAGTCGAACATCTTTTAAGTTCATTGAAATGGGGTTTTGTTTCAACTCCAGTTTTCAGAACCCCTAAGTATTTTGTACAATATGTACTTGAAATGATGAATTTAAGCCTATTGATGATAGGCTGTTTTTCTAGCTTTCAGTCCACAGACCACTAAGAAAAACACTGCAGGTCATATACAGTGGAATGCGTTCTGCCCTAATGGTTGTTTACTGCTGTGTAATTACAGAAGATAGGAGCAGAGCTTCATCCACTTGCAATTTTTAAAGCCCTCTTTTGAAAGATGTGAAAATCGTTGTGAATACTGTGTATTACTAAATTGAACTCAATTACTGTGATAGACCTTATTTTTCAATGGCATGTCATGGTTTAGCTTTTTAATTTAAAACATCTTTTTTGTGAGGCAGTTACACATGTGTAACATACATGGAACTCTGGAAGTTTCTACCAACTTCATTAGAAAAGCCATCTATACTACCAGAAGTCTGTCGTGAGGTACATCTGTCCTCCTTCCAGATTCTCCTGGTGCCACAGGCAAAGGGGAAGAGTATGTATTCTGAGATTTTTTTTTTTTTAAGGTTGTAACACCAGTGCTTTTTCAAAGTAACGCGAGTTTGGTAGGAGACCATTCTGTATTTTATGCCTTTTGATGTTCTCCAGTTTGTCCAACACCCTCAGATCTCAGTGAAGTCAGTGAAAAGCACTACAAGGGGGTTCTCATGCACATTAAGTTTGGAGGCAGTAGGTCATGCTTGGTGAGTCCAGGAAGTAGCCTTTGAGAATAAAGCAAAAGCTCCCCTCCCATGGGGGCTGGGGAGGCAGGGAGCATGGATGTATGTATATGAAAGAGAAAAATAGAAACTTTGTTACTTATCCTATTATGCTACTTGAATTATCTATACTGCTGTTGCAGAAATCGGAACAATTAAAAAACTGAGCCAAAAGAAAACAAAATATTATGCTTTAGCCTCACAGTGCCCCTCTGCTTTTCTCTGCCTCACATCCAGTCTGTGTGTCGTTAAGCTTTACTTGTCTGGAATCACTTTATTGTTACCCAGATGCGTTGAAATTTCTGTTTGTAAAGCAATAATATTCAAGCAATAGAACTGGTTTATGCTTTTTTGCTTTAAATGCCAATCAGCTATACTACTACAAATGTAATGCCCTTGTACAGGATCACGTTAGTATTTAAGTGATTAAGTATTTAAGTACTTAGTATTTATATATATTAAGTACTTAATATTATACTTAATATTTATGTATATTAAGTATTTAAGTACCTTAGTATTTAAGATTTCAGAAACCAGGTAAATATTCTTTTAACCTTGGTTGTTGTGGTTTGGTTTTTTTTTTCTCCTGATAGGTAACACCAGCCTTCAGACCAAAACAGGGAATATCACTGTAGGTAGGTGCTACCTTCTCTCTGAGAACTTCCTCTCACTCTTCCCTTATTTCTAAAAGCTAAGTATTCACAGGGAAAGTAAAAAAGAGGTGATTCCTCATAGGTGCCTGTGCCCTCTTTTCATTTCAGGAGTAGCACTGATAGCTGTGTAGCTTAAGCTTTTAGATTAAGACAGGATAAAAGACATGAGAAAAGACTGAGCATACATCAGATGCCATCATTTTGCCTTTAACCTAGTTCTGTCTTACATTTGTTGATATGAGTTATTAGCTATGTTTAATTTTCACATTGCAAAGCATTAATAATTGTATTACATATTGGGGGTGAAGGCTTGTGATAATTTAAACAATGTTTTCAACTATTCAGAAATAAAGAGCTCATACATGTTCTCTCAGTAAATTGAACTCTTATACAATAGGATAACTCAGAGTTATCAATTATGGTACAAATTAGATCAGTTGCTTTATTCTAGGAAAATATTCACCATTTTATAGTACATGAACACAAAAGGGGGAAACTCAAATTATGGTTATTTCTGTGTCAGAAAACTGAGGCAACAGAATCATAGACAAGGCTCAGTGTATTTTGAAAGTACATAGAAGGATTTCCCCTTCTGTAAATAAACTTGGTTACAGGCCCAAATCTCCAACTTCTGCTAGTGGTAGTAACCATAGTCACTCACTAAGCATTGTTCAGGGACGGGCTGTACTGTTACAACTCTTCTTATGTTTTGAAGTGATCTGTATTAACATTCCTGGAAAATGAATGCAATACACATTCTTAGGAGTTAGTCATTAAACCACAGATTTAAATTAAGCTTGCTAGTCTGGTTTTCCTTCTGTTAAATAAATTGATAAAATATAAGGAGTGCTTAAATAAAGGTTTCTTTAATACAGGAAGTAGCTTTTTCCATCAACAGATGATGATTAATTCCCTTAATTAACCAGGTCCAGCTTGAACATTAAGACACATCTTAGAGTGCTTTCAGAATTGAAATCTGAAAAATAATTTTTCCTGAAGAACATTAAACATCCTTTAGATTTTTATGGATTTTTTTCCAAAGGCAAATGACTCTTAAGATCCAGTGGTTCAACTCTAAAAGCTCGAGAAAGAAAATGTATAGTTTTAAGTGAAAGGTTTTTGTCTATGAAGAACTTATGCCACAAGACAGTTTGTCAGATTGCCACAGACCTGACAGGGTTTTTCTGATAGAAGTAGGAAGAACAACTCAGATCTTCCAGCTTCCCTAGCTGGGATTTCATAGGGATGTAGTTAGTTATTTTGCTGGAGACAGAACTGTATCAGTAAAGTGAAAAAAATGAACTAATCTCTAGATTTTTGGGATTGTATCCTTAGCTTTTGAGTGATGTATTTATAAGTCAAACTAAAACATAGTTGAGTGCTGGATTTTTTGCAAAGTATTTTGGGGAAAATACAAGCGCCTGTGTTGACAGTTTCTTATTCTTGTATAATTCTGCATTAAAACAGGAAACCAATGCTGGTGTCTCTTACTCCCTTTAATTTTCTGCTTTTCTTAATTATTTATAGAATAGTTTTATAGTTTGATTTATAATCAAAATAGTTTCAGTTTTTTTGGTCTTACTTGTTTATGTAAACCTATTTTTATTTTTTGAAGACTATCCAAAATTCAGTGCGATTTTAAGACTCCGGGCGTATGACAGTGTTTCACACTGACATTGTTAAAATATGAAAATAGGGATTACTCCTTTTCCTGTATACTGTGAGCTTAGTTAGTCACTGAGAAATGTTTTCCAACCTTATACTGGAAGTTTCCTACTTTTAACAAATGTTATTTTGGTTTTGAATGAGTTCTTAATTTAAAACAACCAGACCTATTTTTATTTCTAGTTTCAGTTACTACATAAAATAGTCATTTTGCCTAGAGAAGCTGTGGATGCTCCATCCCTGGATGTCTTCAAGGCCAGGCGGGATGAGGCTTTGAGCAACCTGGTCTAGTGGAAGGTGTCCCTGCCCATGGCAGGGGGGTTGGAACTAGATGGTCTGTAAGGTCCCTTCCAACCCAAACCATTCTGTGATTCTTCTGTGATTGATTGATTCTTCACAAAAAGTAATTAAGTACTTTGTCTTTAGAACTAGCTTGTTTCAGGTTGTCTGTTGTGCTGTCATCATGCACCACTCTGAGGAGCCTGGTTTTGTCATCTTGATCACCTCCTTGCAGATACTAGGGGCTGCTGCCAGGTCCTGAAGCAGTCTCTTTTCCAGGCTGAGCAAGCCCTCATCCCTCATCCTCCCATGAAGGGGAAGGTGTTGCACACCCTGACTATCTTGGTGCTTCTCTGCTGAATTCAATCCTATTTCCTCTCTGGGGAGCCTCAACACTGGATGGTGTATTCAAGGTGTGGTCTGCTAAGTGCCGAGTAGAGGGGCATAATCCCTTCACTTCATACACTGGCCATGCACCGGTTAATACTGTCAAGGATACTGTTGGATTTCTTTTCTGCCAGGGCACGCTGCTGGCACATGTTCAGTCCTGCTAGAATTTGCTTATTTCTCAATGTTATTGGTATGGTCTGATCATATATTCTCTACTTTGCTGCCAAGCCAGATTTTTCCCTACCAGCTCAAACAGAATTTTTTTCCTTACTGGATTACTTAAATTTAACCCAATTATGCATTGAAGAAATTAATCTCCTTTTGGATATGGTCAGAAATTATAAAGCTTATGTTAGTTGTTTTGTTTCAGAGGGGAGGAAACAGCCTTAACCAGTCTGTGGGTGGCAGGGACTTGCTCTGGCAAGGAAAACTGTATATTGAGATCCAAGAAACTCTAGTTGATGTTTTTAGTTTTAATGTTGGTATCACTCTGCCTTATTCTGCTAATTTCTTTCTCTTACAACCCACACAAGATGACCTAAAGGTTTCAGTGACTTGCTGTGATGCTCACTGTCTTAAATCAACAGAAACGTAACAATTAAGAACACCACAACTTTTCCAAAAATATAAATTTGAGTAGAGTCCTGACGTGAAATCGAACTGAGGTGTCTGACATCCTCCACTGTGATGAGAGTGTGGTCATAAGGCAATTCCCTAGCACTGAGACAAAATACCAATGTTTTATTTTAAGAAGGGAATCAAGTATGGAAAACAATTATGGTATTAAGACAGTTTTGGATAACTGAATAATAAAACAATGCACAACTCTAGGGTATTTAGAAGTAATGCTGAATCTGTGAGTTTTGTCTTTAATTCAGTTATTAATAAGTGATCTAGGGAATCTTTAAATGAAAAACCTTATTTCTGAATTCCATTGAAGACATTTACTGTACTCTATAAAGTACAGCTCTTAAGTACCTTTAAAAAAAAAAAAAATTATCCATGCACACACTTGTCTCTTAATAGTAATTAGTTCTGTTGATCCAGTCATTGCGATCTGCTTTAAGTATGTTAATGTCCTGGCTCTCATTTTAAATGTTCTTCATCTTCCAACCTTGTACCTTCGAACTTAACCTTCTTCTGTGTTCTGCCAATGACAGACCTGTAACTTTCCCCAACCCCATTGTTCCCGTTTCTTCCACACCATCCTATATCATAGAATCACAGGATCATTTGAGTTGGAAGGGACCTTAAAGATCCTCCAGTTCCAACCCCCCTGCCATGGGCAGGGACACCTTCCACTAGACCAGGTTGCTCAAAGCCTCATCCAGCCTGGCCTTGAACACTTCCAGGGATGGGGCACCCACAGCTTCTCTGGGCAACCTGTTCCAGTGCCTCACCACCCTCTCCATGAAGAACTTCTTCCTGATATCCAATCTAAACCTCCCCACTTTCTTAAACCCATTACCTTGGTGAGCCTGTGCCTACTGCCCGTTTCCTGTATCCTTTATTCTGTTTATGCCTTCTGCAGGCAGAATCGAGTGTATCTCATGACATTAGAATTATATATATTTTTATATATATAAAATTGAAAATCAAGGAACTGTTTTTAAGTGGGGTGCTAGATTTGCAGAAGGCCTCTTTCCACTCTGAAGAATCTCACATGAGCTGCTTTTTCATTTGAAGAGTGGGAAGAAGGAGGAATCACTTAAACATTGGTCCCTGTACAGTACTGTCAGCCAGTGGTGGTGTACAGACTGTTAGCAGTTGATGTCCCTGGAGATGGTTGCTGTCCTGTCGCAGGAGACTTTTTTTTTTTTTTTTCTCCCCTGTGGTGCAGATAAAGGCACTTATTGCATGTTTTCTTTAAAGCAGAAGAGTTGGAGCCTGGATATTTCCAGTATCTGCTGCCAACAGAATTTCTGTCGAGGTTATGTGGAGTCTCAGTGATTGTTACCAAATTTGACTTGGAATATCTGCAAAATAGCTTTTACATGAAAATACTGATTTATCGCTACAAAAACATTTCATTAAAAAGATCCATTCTTATAAAATTTTGTTGTGTCAATGACTTTAATTTCCAAACTTACAAATGTTTTTAAAAGTTGTCAAGAAAATGTTTCATTGTGACTTACACAAGCCAAACTTTTTTTCCCTGGTCATTGATTTCAGTTAAGGAAGAGGATTTTTTGGGGGTTTTTTTCTTCAGATTTGGAACAGAACTTCTTTAACACAATCTATGGAGATGGGAAAAACACTCCCATCCAGCTCTAGTCATTATTAGTTTCTTGTTAGTCAAAGACAGTCCCAGATTCTCAGCTGACTAAATATGGATTGGCTGCTTTTTTTCTTAATTACTTTACTCTCCAAAGAAGTCAGGTTTAGTTGTGGGATAATAATCCCTTTCTGTGTTTTCACTTTCGTATGTAATCCACTCATCTTCCACATCTGTGCTTGAGACCTGGCATCGGGAAAGCTCCAGATGAGTGTATTTAGAGCTAAAGCTGTATGGCAAGCTTTAATTCTAGACATCCTTGTTATGATTAATCAACTTCAGCTCTCGTTAATGTTTTTACTTTTTAAAATGGGAAGTTTCATTCTGGTTTGATTTCATTATTCTAGCTAGTTCTGAAAGTTTGACTGTTTCTTTTTCTGTGCACATCTAGAAACTAAGAAACAGTCTCTCAGTATTTCAAGATTTCTTTGCAATTTTTATTAGCTGTAGGTCTGTCCAGTAGTTCAAAAGTCAACTCTTTAGGACTTTAGTATAATATTGTGAAATTTGTGTATTCAAAACTAGAATACATTGCAAGTAATCAAAGACTGTTTCTCAAGTATACAATTAAGGCTTCTTAAGGGTTTTCTTCCTGTAAAGAACTTTCTGAAGAAAGTTTTGTTACAAATTTCAGCTAATAAGGTGTAGGAGAATATGTGGGTGTCTACTGCAGGGCAAAGGACTATTGCACTTTCACATACATAGGAAAACAGTGTTCATTTGAATATTTGTTGAAAATTCAGATGTAGTGAATCAGACTTCACAAAGCCTGATAAAACAGTGTTTCTGTGTAGCAACATGTTCCAACGCCCAACTGCTTGTTTGCATGGGGCAGCTTTCCTGGGTAAAGTTCTCCCTGTGCAGAGTCTGAGCAAATGAACTCTTTTTGGAAACTAAATCTTGGTGTTCAAATTGTGCGCTCGATCTTCACACGAGTGCAGAGTGTGTCATTTGCACAGTTCTCCCTGTGCAAATGAACTCTTTTTGGAAACTAAATCTTGGTGTTCAAATTGTGCGCTCGATCTTCACACGAAGATGAACTCATCCTTGTGGAAAGAGGGGTGTGTTGTTGAGGCCTTGTAGATGCTACGAGTCCAGTAACAACTGCAGGGCTATGGCCTTGGGACCAGCGAGATGAGCTTTGCTCAGAAACTTCTTTTTTCTAAAAGTAGTCTGACATTTGGTAAATAATCAAGCACAGAATAATTGACAAAATTGGTTCAAAGTACAAAGAACGATTATAGCAAATTTTTACTCAAAGACAGTAAATGATACACAAGTTCTTTTACTTTTTTTTTTTTAGATTCATCAGATGGAAGTCTAAAAGCCTCTACACATCATGGGGCAATAGATGTTTACGTCAGTCAATTAAGAAAAGTGGATCTGAAATCCCACAAAGGTTAGCAAACTAAATTATGTTTATGGCAGCTTATGATGTAAAAGAAAAGGGGATAGGGATTTTTCTCTGTCGGGGAAAAAAAAAAATCTGAGTTTGTGATTGTTGGTTATCTACATTTTTTTCCACTTTACTAGAAAATGTGTATAAATACTGTATTACAAGTAAACTCTGTAAGGAGCAATGATACTTGAAATGGACAGTTTACAGTATTACCTTTTTTTTCACTACTTTCTTTTTATTCCTGGCTAACTACCCAGCAGAATTGTGCAGAGTTGACGTGGATTACAATCTTCTTTGCCTTGAGCACAGTTTACTCCATGGTGCTGGATACATGAATGTGCAGAGTGACAACCATCACTTGTTTACATTCATTTCCTGGTGAAATGACCCATTATTGAAATTGGAAGGCAGAAGAACAAAGATGGGAGGGCCTTACCCTACCATTCTTCCTTTTTTCGCCTGATTACTAACTAGAATTTCACATCTTTTAATTGAAAGCTCACTTGTAAAGTTGGATTCTTAGTTTTACAATATCTTGTCTTCATAATGACAAATAACAAACACTGAATACATCTTGTTAGACCTTGCTTTGCAAAAAAAACCCACTACAGCATTTCTGTAGTTGATTTTGACATCGTATCAGACATTTCAAGTGGTTTAAATGAACATGGTGTTTGGTACCCTTCTCTTTGTTGATGGGAGAAGGCCTGTGCCCTGTTAAAACCTAGCAGTTACTCAGAAGGGGAATAATGAAGGAAATGCACTGAAGTCACTTGTGTGCCATTCTTCTCTACAGGCTGTTCTGGTTCCATCGGTGCAAAGAAAATTAGTCTTGTATTATTTCCGAGTTACCTTTTGAATCACTTAATCCTAAAATTGAATTAGAACCGGAGAGGAGTGTATTTAATAACAGCGAATTAATGTTATTTTCAAAACATTGCTTGATATCTCTTCTGGCAGCAGAGTTTAGTAAAGGCAAAATTGATGAAGTTCTGCTTTCGTTTACCCTGTAAATTCAGAGTAACTGCTGACAGCTGCAGTGTAGAAAATGTCCCGTTTGTGATAAATCAGCTGCATGTGTGTTGGATTTTATGAGTCACATCACTGAGCAACTCTCCAGGGAGGGCCCAAAGATGAAGACCTTTTCCCTTTCTTATTCTAAGGCTTTTGTGCATCCAGCAAAATTCAGGTCTGAATCATACTGACAGTTACTTGTTCATCAGGACAGTCCCAGGCAAATGATTCTGCTGAACTGGAATTGCATAGCTAGGGTTGCTTTCTGACCGCTACCGAGCTGTTACACCACCAGTTTTCTTACAGTGTTCTGCTTCAGCTTTTGGGGTGTATTTAAAGAATCTATTCCATGTTTTTCTAAAGTGAATGTTGGAATTGGGCAAAAACGAAGGAGCACATACACAGCGTGTTGTGAATTTTGGTAGGTGGTGTTTTTTTAATGTGTAGGGTGCAGCTTGCAAACGTGGGACTGAGTAATTCCAAACGTGACTAACGTGGGCAGGTTGGAGGCCCAGCATCTGCCTTCAGTCTGATGAAGAGAAGCATGTACTCAGGGAAAGCTGAAGTCAGAATTCCTGGGTTTAATCTCAAGGGTAGAATTCTTCAGGCCACCAGAGCTGCAACTTTGCTAGTAGTTTGCATTTTAGCGATATGTAGTCTAAACTGGTTAGTCACTTTTGAGACTGCCGTGTGTTCAAGGATGAGAACAGCTGGCTCTGTGCAGTAAAGCAAAGACGTTTGCTAGCATTAGCAGTATGGGAGCAACATCTCGTTTTTCCAGAAGAGCAGTTCTTTCCTAACGTACCGTGCAGTGACCGGATTAATCGTCAAATCCAATCGCCTGTCCTTGCTTAGGAGTGTAAATATTGAACTAAAAGATGAAACTAAAGTCATAATACTTGTGAGATCTATCCGACTTGCTTTCCTTGATAATTCCTGTAATAAGAGCCTCTACCAAGAGCTGCTGCTAGCAGTGTATGTCAGTATTAACTTGTGTCTGCCAAGGAAATACTGTGACATCATTTTCTACATGTGACATACAGTTTTCTGGTTAGGATAAATGAAGATATTTTCATTTATCCTTTCAGAGACAAAGAAGAGGTTATTGTGTCTGAAGGCTCTTAAACAACAACAAAAAGGCCACACAGAAACCAAACCAATTATGTTTGATTCAAGTTAGCTAAATAATTGCCTATTTCATGCTTTGATCTCAATGTTTAACTAACTAGCTGTCATTTAAATTTGTACCAGGTTCTATTACAGTCAAGGTACCTGCCTCTCTCAAAGCCTATTTACAGTTGTCTGGAAGAAAGGTGGATGTGAGCTCAGAGATCCAATTAAAAGAAACAGAGAGTGCCTCCAAAGATGATCACGTAACTATAAGCGGTAAGGCTTACTAATCTTGGCTTCCAGTAAATGTCTGTCTGCCTTAGTCAACGGCATCTACGTTTCCTTATGAGTTTATTGCTCTTGGCTGCTGCTTGTTGTGTCTGTTTTGGGTTCAAGTGTTCGCTTGTGCCATCGTACTCTCCATGTTCCTAGATGACTTTTTTCATTTTGTTTGGTAAATGACTTGTGAATGCGTGGAACTGCTTCTCTAACAAAAGTCTTAGAGCCAAATTCATCCTTAGCATTATCCCAATGAATTTGTGGGAGGCAATCCAGGGCTGAATTTGACCCATTGCTTTGTTGGCTTAGACAGTCACATATAAATTGCCAGGGAATGTCTATTAAAAATACAATGAAAAGTCTTCTGGCTATCTCTGTTGGGTGGGAGGGGGTAATAAAAGGGGTACATGGCATATTTATAGAAGTACACTATAGATGTTAAACGGTGCAGCATAATCTGAGAAGTGATGGGTGGGAGATAGCTAGGATAAGAGCAGAAGAAACTGGAGCATGGAGGAATAGGGAGCACATGGAAAGGTGCCTGCAATTACTAGAAGCATTTATCTAATGCATTTAAAGCTGAACTTGGAAATCCCAAGTCGTGCTGCTTCCTGCTTTAGAAAAAAGTTGTACAATTCCTTGTCAGGGTGTATATTTCTCTCCTCCTCTTCAGACGTGTCTATATAGAAGTTCAGGCTGTTGCTGTGACCAATTACTCAGTTTCCTCAAGAGGAAACATTAGCATAACGCATCTGAAGGCTTCAGCTTTGTTTTTGAATGTGTTATGTCACGGTGACCCGGTATGATAGCAGTTTGGGTGAGGCTTTGAGTTTTTCTTTGGTTTTAAACCAAAGAAAATATGGACAAAACTTCTTTACCTCCCCCATTTAAGATGATAATCTCAAAGTCAGGAAATGCTGGAAGTGAATATACATGATATTAATATGCAGCTGCATATATAAAATAATAGTCTTGAAATGTATAGGTGTATCTCTTCCCATCTTGAACAGTAAGTAGCATGTGCATATACTAGTGGTTATTAAATACAGTTTAAAAAAAAAAACCCTGTGGTTAGAAGTTCTCAGGCTAGAAACCTGTGGAAGGACTCCACATTCCAACAAGGCTGTATGGAATGAATCACCTCAGTGGTAAAACAACATATCTCCCAGTGAATGAGGACCACTGGCCAGTCAAGCATCTTGTTATTCTGGCAACATCAGAGTGGTGTTTGAAATACGCACAGCTGAATGGCTTCTCTGGTTACATGACCCAGTCAGTGTTTATGTAGGACAGTCATCGCTGAAACAGATGCAATTGTTCTCCCCACCATCCTGTATGAAACCCATCTTGGCAGTTGGGACTACAAGCAGCTCTGGTTACTTAACCCTCAGATATACGTACCCCAGAGTCATGGAAATCAGCCAGAATTATGCAGAGGCAACAGCATTAGGCCACTGATTATCAGTCGTTTAAAGAGGTTACAGCATTGCACAAAACATGCATTAAACCTAGATCTAAATCAATCACAGTACAGGTGAATGAAAAACAGACCCTGGAATGGATTTTCTGCAGGGTACGATTCAGCTAACCTAGTGCTGGCCTGAAGTGACACATCTTCATCTGACTTCGTACCCAGCGTTTGGCTTTGAGAGGTTTCTCTCATAATGTAACCAATGATTTAATGCAGCTCTCTCCTCCCTTTTCTTCACTCTCAGTAAGAAGCAACAAACCTGAAAGGAGATGGTTTTAACACGTGCTTTGCTCCTTTTCCTTACAGTTTTGAAAACAGTGCCCCCCTTCCCCTTTCTTTGCCAAGTCAGTAACATTCCTTTGGGATGTCAAGGGAGATGCTTCCTGCTTCTCCTTCTCTTTACCTCATCCTGTGGGGATGGTATATTGTTTCTGCAGGCCAAGCACTTCTCCCCTCATTCTCGGCAATCTCCTCTTCTGAAAGTTGATATTTGAGAATTTTCGTCTACGAGTAGATTCTGAAATAATTAAAAATCGTTTCATACTGTTTCTGTATCATGCAAACACTATCTGCTCTTGAAGTTTTAGGTACAGAGCTATAGCTGTCCTGCTGCAACTGAAGAAATGTAAAATGGAGAGGAAAGAGGGGTTTTGCCAAGTGGGGAAAAAATGAGTATCACAAGAGCATGGAAGTTTAGATTTTTATGTTTCTGAGCTCAAAGGTTAGTTTAAAAATAGATGATTTTTCAGAAACTGGCCAGTTCTCATGTGGATAACACAGGAACCAGCTGCTTTTAGGAAGCTTTGCTTGCCTCTGGGAATGTTGTGAGAGATGTTAGAGAAGAGGGTCTTCAGTGGGAAGATGTAGAGTTGTGTGACGTGGGTAAACATGCACCTTGTCTGGAGAGCCTTTCCTACTGCTGTTAGAGCAGCTCTGATGTACGTCATCACCTCGTTTCATGGCTCCTATTTCCACGCTGGCTGCGAAGTCCATACACTACAATCCCACAAGCAGTCACATGCAGGGATTTGCTAGAGAGCCAAGGAATAGAGTGGGATTTAGTCAAAGCAAGAAGATGAAAGCTTGACAAGAGTACTTTCAGAGCTGGAGTGATGATAGTGTGAAAAGGTGTTTTGCCGTTTTCTAAAAGGAAGTGACTTTCTTGCAAAACTGGGACACTTGAGACAGGAAAGGAACTACAGAGCAGTGCCGGGAGCTTACTCTTCAGAGTAATTTGCAAGGATAAGGCATGTGTTTCTGTTGGCATCACTAGGCACTCTTAAAAGTAGTATGTAGGGTGTAATAAAAACAGATTTCTTGTGCTAAGGACTGGTCCAGCTTCCATCTGTGAAAGTGTTTGTTTGGCTGTCTAGTTTGAGAGTGATTTCTGATGGTTATCATGTCAAGGCATTATTTTCCTTCCCCTGGCAAAGAGGGAAGCCCTTGCTGCTTGATGTCTGCCTTTCCTGTGTCTCCAGGTCTGCCTGTACTCTTAAATCAGCTGATTTAAGAAGTCTGTAGAGAGATACAGTTAACTATGATAAGAGGAAGGGTAGCAGGCTAAAAAGTGTCAAATATTTAAGCAGAGAAGGAGCTTAGACTGTCATGTCAAAGGGGTTACAAACATGATAAAAGGCAAGGTTAAAATTCAAATAATCTTAATTTATATCAAGATTACATATATCAAAAATAGCTTTTTAGGCCATTTTTTCCAATAAGTCATTTTAAGTTCAAAGTACAAAGGTTGGAATAATTACCTGTGTGGTCCTAAGAGGAGGAACATTTCAATAAAAACGTCGGGAAACAATAATGTTACATAGTTGGGGGAAAAAAAAAAGGTGTATTAATGTGACTGTTCCATAAAACTCAATAATCCCTTGGTTTTACATGGCATTAGTATTATTTTGCTGGAATATTTCCAGTTTTGAGTGCTGTACTTCAAAAAAGGATGTGGACAACTGTAGGGACTCCAAAGGAGAACACATCATCAGAGGCTTAAAAACATGATTAATGAGGGAAGACTCAATGAAGCGTTGGTTTTGTCTGGAGAAGGCTAAGAGAAGAGAAAATGCATTTTTCCAGTGTGTAAGAAATTGCCACAGACATGAAAGAAATAAGTTGTTTTCTGTCCACTGGTGTTGCACCAGAAATGGATTTGACCTTACAGTACAGAAAACTTAACAGCAAGATAAACTTTCTGGTAGTACGCTCTTGCGCAGTGAGGCCACAGGACTGTCGGTACTGCGGTCTGCAGAGGAACAGGCTAGGTGAGCATGCCGGGTTCGCTGCAGTGTGTCCTCGGGAGGCTGCTTTCAGCCCTGTTTTCTCTTGTCCGAAGTTGATGGGACCATCTGCTCCCACCCACTCCACAGCAACTCAAAGGAACGTTACGAGGCATGTGGGTGGATAAATCTGGGGACTCAACGAATGCACAGTGGGCACGCTTCCACCCACTTCCATTGCCAGCTTGTGTGTCAACAGCTGTAAGCTCCCTGGAATAAGTCTTGCAGTCATTCAGAGACTTTCTTTGGGATCCTTGTAGCTGGTGGTGTAAATTTCCAGATCTAATTGTCCGGAATATAACTCCGTTCTTTAAACCATTTAAATCTTCCCTCTCTGAGTGGTGCCAGGGCCTGATCTGATTCCAGATCTTTCTCCATCCCTGGCCCCAGTTCTAGTGTCAAGTTCATATCCAGTGGCAACCTTTGACCTGATGCCATCCATCGGCTTGGTGCCGAGTGAGCTTGTAACTTTGGCAATCAGTTACTCCATCGGGTTTTCAGCACTCGCGTGAGTTCCCTTGGTACGAGTCCCACGGTGTCACAGGTGCTCCTCACAGGCCGTGGATGTTTGTAGGTTAGCGTGTCTCCCTATTCTTACTTTCTCAAGTTGACCAGCCAGTGCTTTGTATTTTTCTGTCCTCTTACAAGGAGCATACTCTTTGGGAATGATTGTTTTCTCCCGGGTTGAGACATACTTGCCCCCTGTGTCATCCAGCGTGACAACAGCTGCAGCAGTTAACAGGATTTTTAGCTTTTTGTACTAATTCCAGCCTACCTTCAGCACTAGAGCTATGCTGAGCCACCTCTGAGCAGTGTTCCTCTCGGAGCAATGCCCTCTGGTGACCATGCACACAGGTAATGGGGCGCTCTTTCATGTTCGCTTATGCCTTCCCTCCGATGTGTATCCTGGGTATGCAGAGGGATCCCCTGTTGTCTTCTCTAATGCCTCTCCTGTGAAATTTTCCAGGTATATGTTGCCTCTGCCTTATGGGTTGATCCAGCTTCCAATTATTCTTTCGATCACTAGGAACTCCTTAGATGGCCTTCCTCTTTGTGGGCCTCTGGAGAGAGTCAGCCTGTCTAATTACCAGATCCCCTTGAATAGAAGGACATGGATACTGGTGTACCAAGTCTCTGCACCCTGTCTGGTTCTCCGGGTGGTTTGTGGTGAGAAGCCCCTTGCTCCTTACAACGATCATTTGCTCAGGCATGCTCTGAAGTAGTAAGACTTTCACGTCTGCCTGAGGTTAGATCTGGATTACCCTCTGGAACAGATGATTTAGACAGATGCTTTCTACCTTCCTTTCCTACCTCCTGACCTATTTCTCACTGCTCACACAATGGCTCCTCGTACAGTTATACTGGGAGAGCAGCCTTCGAAGTGCTGTGGACTTGCCCTTTAGGATTGCTTCAAAGCCAGTGTGTGAGGAGGGACTGCGTGCGTCTCGTATACCGTGCACAAAGCTTTAGGGATGTGTTTAACTGCTTTTGTTATCAGAAATTGTGTATTGTTTGCTTTAAGGTAATGTCTGTGGGTTTAGCTGCATGGAGTTCCAGGGTTAAGTACAAACACAGCTGAAGGGGCAGTGAATAACGTGAGACAAGCAACTTGCCTTTAAAGGGAAATAACTGAAAGAGTGTGTATT